TACGGCCGGCGCAGGCGGTGAGCGGCAATCGAAGCTTCCGCGAACCGCGCCCGACGGGTTGGCGCTGGTACCTTAACGCAGCCATCCATAATAAATGTATGTTAAAACACATAAAGCTATACACCATTATACTCAGAGCTGCACAAGGAACAAACCGGCTCAAGCTTTGTGTCGGTACCGGGCTAAAGGGGTTTTCGAGTCGCTACATCTAGTGACGCGTACTTATCACACTCAAACACAAACGCAAATTTCTCAAGCATGTGCTTTATCCGTGCTCCCTCTCCCGGAGCTTCCAGAAGAGAAGGGGCAAACTCCGTGGAGAAATATAGTTGTTGCCACAATTTGGTGGTAACTGTGGTTATTTCTTTCTGTTTAGCTCACCTCCATCACTTAAGTTTGTGCAATTATACCCGTATAGTGTGTGCCGCATGGAACGCAGTTTCGTAAAACGAGGTAGGGGACTGGAGCGTAAATAATCTTGAAACCTACCATTAAATCTCGCCAACAAGCGAGTATATCTCAGGGTTCATCCCACGTTTCTCTCAAAGTTAGGGAGGCTAGAGGTCAAGTTCGGAGGGAGGTGAAGCCCCCCAAATGAATAGGAAGCTATACCCCTGCTGTGCAGGCTTGTTTTTGACGAGTCATTTAGGTGCCACTACGTGCTATTTTGTTTCTAGTCTCCTCACTGCTCCCCACCATTATTGACTGTGCTAGGCAAGAACAACTTTCATGTCAAACTAAAAGCAATTGGTTTGAGGGGATCAGGTGGTAGTAATCTGAACAGAGGAGCACGCTTACAAGTACTTGAAGTTTGACTATGTGCACATCGCTCGCCTTGCTCAGCATCGTTGCCTTCTGATCTTCGAGTTGACTTCGAAAACTCCTACGATTACGCTGCCATCGCGATGATGCGGCTTAGCTGCCACCCCGTCGCGCACCCGTAGTGCTGTATGTTATCTACTTTTGGTAGTTCGCAGACCAAGCAGCCTAGCGATCAATTCTCTCAGTTGGTAGCTCTGCATAACACTTTTCCACTGGTGGCTTTTTTGACCTAACGAAATAGCTAAGTAACGGGCTGGACTGAATACGAAAGAAATGAATACGAAACAAATACATGCGAAACAACTCAATATGAAACAAATGAATATGAAGCAATTGAATACGAAGCAACTTAATATGAACCAGTTGAATAGAGAACAAGCGAAAATAAAACAGCTGAAAATGAAAGAGCTTATAAGAAAACAGCTGAAAAGGAAGCAATGAATAAGGGACCATGTACCTGTTCCATCAAGTCATCTCGTCGTGCCTCGGCGGAAGACGTTGTCGTAAGGCAGCGTCATGATTTTGTTCGGCGTTGACGGTCGAAGCATGGTTTCAGCTATCGACACAGGGCCGATATAGCAGAAACCGCCCTTGGCACGTGGCTTTAGGTTTTTTTCATGTGTACGGCTTCGGGATACAGATTGTCTGTTGGTGTGCGCCACTCTGCGCCACCGTGTGCGCCGCTGTTAAAGGCTGCCACGGAAACCCTCGACCGCAGGGCGGGCTGCGGGCTGGAAGGCAGCACTCGAGTCAACTATGTCCGGATACGGCTCGTGTTGTTTACGTGGTGGTCGTTGGCAAACCATTACCGCTATCGGTTTAGTCGGTGAATGTCGATCATTAGGGTTCCGAAACTGTTAAATTGAAAATTTACGTCGAAGTTGAGCTTCACTCAAAGGCGCTCCGAACGAAGACCGTTAGCAGATTCGTCACGTTTTCGTGTGCTAGTAGGCGACCGGTTTCCTTTAATTAGCTAACGATTCACTCATAAGGCCTACGCTGTTTCACTTGCATAGCCTTGGATAGGACGCCGAGGCAGGACATTGCAAATTATTGCAGGCTGCAGAAGTTGAAACACCGCAACATAATGTCATACTACAAGCTAAACCAGAATCAATAGGGCTTTCATTTTGTAATAAAAATTATGCCTCATGTAGGAAAACGAAGAAAAAGTAATGATGTCAATATGATACGAACGTGGAGGTCTGAAATTGTGCGAAGCTCAATCAGCTGGGTTTAAATGGAGAGGACATCTCGGTTTTCGTTGTCTTGTTGCATCTGTGAAGCATCTCTTAACTACTCAGTTCAACGTCGATACAGTTTTGCGCTCACCTTTTGAGATGTGTTGTTTGTACTAAATCTTCAGAGGGTTGGGGGGGGGGGGCAAACACACCGTTGGAGGGGGCAGGGAGTGGTGGAAGTAAGAGTGTGGGTATAGACGTTACATTGTGGTTTAAATTAATTTTAGTGCAGACCCTATTCAGCGGCAACTGCAGTTGTTGCAATTGTCGACGTCAGGACAGCCATGGTCGTCATGACGGCGGTAGAATCTGCTAATAATGATGTAATTCTAAAGATAATAAAGTTAATTTCGTACCACCAGCTTGGCATATACCTTTGCACATACAGACATACAAACACAATACGTACACACACCTGGAGCAAGACAGAAAGCAAGGTACTCAGTTCCTGTTTAACAGGTCAGAGAACCTTATCCAGGGATGACCCTGGATTCGCCCTAATTCGCGCATTTAGTGGTGATCACGGACAAACCAACCCCAGTGGGCGATGAAGATGTTCCGGAATTCTGACCTGCCGACTGCCAGGGGTCAAACCGACTGCCAGGGGGTCAAATGCCATGAGATCGTACTCATGTCGGAAATCCGCATGTGTCCTGGTAATAACGCCACTAAACCCTACTTCGATTGCATGCAATGTCATAGAAATGCTATTCTCGCTGCATACATGAGTCTTTTAGCTGGATAGCAGTTGCCGACTAGCTACAAGCATGGGACCTGGTGGAAGCTCAAGCCCTTTATACGAGTCATGGTCCCTTGTTCAGCGTGACACGATTACCATCTTCTTTATACATGAGTGGTAGGCCATATACAACTCTTAGAATGTTTTTTTTTTGCACCCATTGTTTCACATTTCACAACCATACATGTTAGTGCAGTGTGCTTTGAACAGCTGGATCAAAATGGACCATGTGGTTCTGAGTTTCCAAAAGCCAAAGAGAGTTTGAAAAGAAACGCTGCTAAACGCCATAGCAAAGAAAGAGACACTAACGCTTAACGCGAAGCTGCTGAGGCTATGTGGCGTCACCTGCCTGCCATCCTGGCAGGAACGGCGGAGACGCAGGGAATCGAATTAGCCACACCTCTGGTTTTCCACACGCGTTGCTTAACCAACACAGTACCAGAACCTTCTCATACGACCTGGAAACACGCCACTGTAATCAGTTCACCTGTCTTCAGGTGCCCGCGGAATAAACTTTCGACCGCCGACAAATGCAATTATGCAAAATGAGCAGGGTATGTCGACGTGGTGGCAACGCAGAAACGAGTACTTTTTTGGTTAAAATGGTACCTAAGTGATGCGTAACGAAGTTGCATCACGACTGGACCTTATTTCTTATGAAGGAATCGACAAAAATAACTTAACATGCGTCCGGGTCGCTGGTTGAATACGACGCGCCAGGTTGGGGTCAGTTTGTCCCCCTGATAACTCCCAAGAAATACAGCTAGAAGCATGACATTTACAGGGTAGGTACGCCTGCATGCAACTTCACTTTCACAAAATTTGAAGTTCGTAGGTCCAGATCATCAAGTCAAATGAGTTCAATGACCAACTCTGAGCTGGTGCCCAGGTCCCCTAAATCTTCTCATGCAAGCGCCTTAAACCGAGATACATGTTTTAAGTAAAATGTCGCTGGTGTTAATTTTAGACCAATGGCATTGTTTCACCTTGAGAAGGTCATGGTGACTCAACACCTGCGAGATTGCTTTTATTGTTGAATTTTGACAACTGTCAAGGATTGCGCTGTGCGATATGTTTATAAAACCCAAAAGTCGATCCGGGCTATTTTAGGTCAGTGACCTACTCTGATTTTAAGGAAATTCAAGGAGCAAGTCTGTTACAGACCCTGTTATCAAAAAATTGGAAATAAGCCTCAGAAGCCACCTCAAATAGAAAATTATTCATTAAAAAACAGACTGCTTTTGACTTCGGTCTGACTTACACACCTGACCCGAGGTCAATGGACTTTGTCATCATCCTAAATACAGTTGTCTTATCGTCTAAGAAGCTATCTCGCAAAGGTACGGTTTCTCCTAACACTCAGTAATCGCATCCGACTGCATGATTTCCTTTGGCTTGCCTTCGCTGACAGCCTCGACCTGACTTTGACCTGTCATAGGTTAGCGATCTTACAAGGAAATCTAATGCTTGACACCGACAGATCCACTATTTCATTGTTTACATCTATGCAAGGTTTGGTGCGGCTGTGCCGTGCGTTCCATAAATTATTCTGGAAAAATATTCGGGGAACTGACTAGAACTAAAACTGGAACTGAAAACTGGTACTGAAACTGGAACTGAACCCGAGCGCGTATTACCGTGATCAGCCAAAAACGCCAAGAAACGCTCCATGCAGTGTTTGTGTCCACCTGTCCTCATGCATGAAGACAGATGGACAGACAGAGCTTTTTATGCCGATGAGCTCCAGCTAATTACATGGAAACAGCCGTGAACAAAAGAAAAACAAGCACAAAAACCTGTCGGGGGTTTTCACAACCCCTTCGCAAACTGGTAAGCTCTTGAAGATTTCTGCCACTCCAACTGCTGAGATAAGGGGATGTGTCCCCAACACGGGATGCAAATGAATTGTGTTCGGGCACTCATCTCCGGGACTCACATCATCCAAGCTGTATGGGAACAACACAAGTGATGAGTGCAACGAACCCAGAACAGCCTGTTTTCATCCACAAAGTTGAGATGTTGACGTTGGCACTTGCTCGCGAAAGCCAAGCCCCGAAACGTTATCCACAAAACCGGTTCCCGGAGATAACGCGCTGCGTATTGGTCGCGTGCGAGGGCCGCCCGAGGCCGCAGGTCCCGTATAAAAGCGACGACGACCTGCGGAAGGCGAGCAGCATCCATCTCTGGCGCCGCTTCCACCTGCATCTCAACCACCGACAACAGCAATGGCTGCCCGCGCCTTCGTTCTCCTGCTGCTCGTGGCTTTCGTGGGTGCCCAGACCAATAAGAAGCTGCTCGCAGCCTTCAAACCAAGCGGTGCAGGTGAGTTTTTTCAACGTCCCCTGCTGAGTATACTATCAGGCTTAATGCTGTGTTTTCGAAGGAATAAGAATGCCTCTGGTGTCACTTCTCTGCGTGCACCATCCCCGATGCGTATGCATGATCGTTAAACACCGTATTGTAAAAATATAGTCTGGAGTGTGTATTGAAATTAAGCAAAATGACTCCAATTGAATGCTTTCAGTCTGCGGCAAAACAAAGTGCCAACCAAACTACGTCTGCGAGGAACAAATCTGTCAGGTCTGCGTTCCAGGTCAGTCAAACACTGCGGTTTTGGTATTATATCTTGAAGCATCTTGGTTCGAGCCTCAAACTCACAGCTCTATCTGCTCTTTTTGTGAACGTATGCCACTCAGATTGCAAATGCAGCTTTCTTGAATCAAGAGCTGAACTTAAGAGCTTACTTTTTCCCTTCAAAGCGCTGGCTTTCGCAGGATTCTTTCCAAAAGCGAGCAGACTATATATATATATATATATATATATATATATATATATATATATAGCACACACACTTCAAAAGCGCGACGTAGCAACATGTGCATGAATTGATCACACAGGTACGTGATGCACCTCTGGATGCATTTTTTTCATCACCACTGCCAGTGCCACCGAGACCTCTAATGCTACCAGAATTGCGGCCATGATATTACACGTTCTATTTCAGAGGCTCCCACCTGTAAAACCTGGCAGTGCCAAGACAATGAGAAGTGCGAGGAAAGACCCACCGGTCCTGCGTGCGTTAGACGTAAGTAACTGCCAAACGAACGCACTTCAAGCAGCCCGCTGGTTATGTAGTGACGCAGGGCTCTGGAGTTTTTCCGCCAACAGATCTGCCTACATCGAGGACGCCAGTGCTTGACTGGCGCGGCCTTGAAAGGAGTATTCCACTTTTTTGTACGTTCCACTCATCGTTATATCAGACGCGCCCAATTTGATCAGTAATACCAGCCTTCTGGAAATCCTTACGAAGACCTCAAAATTTCTAGTTGAAGTGGCAGACCCTGCGGGGAAACCTCATTTGACTCCCTGCATATCACTAAAAAAGTGATATGTTTCATTTGGCCTGCTTTTTCCAACATGCATGTTCTGTAATGTTTGCAACACACTACTGTGTAAAGATGTTTGTGTAATAAATGCTACGGAAGCTTGATATAGACAAAAAGATATGCCAACATGAAGCTTTTATCCTATATTGTGTAGTGTTTTCCAAGGCGTTGGCAGCGTAATTTGGATTCGCAAATATTTAAAGATGGATATCCTTACTATGTATTTACTGTGTTGCAGTGACACTACTCAGCGTTATTATTAGACGTGACTGGCGCTGAAGTTTCACTGAAATATGCTTTTCAGATATGCCCCAAAGGTTAAACACTCCCTTAAGATATTAAATACTCCCTCCCAAAGGTTAAACACTCCCTTAAGGTATTAAACACTCCCTTAAGATGTTAAACACTCCCTTAAGGTCTTAAACACTCCCTTAAGGTATTCTTGGAACGGTTCGCAGTGACCTGCGCCGACATCCGATGCGCCGCTGGCGAACTTTGCAACGAACTACCCGACGGGCCGGACTGCGTGCCAGGTATGAACCAGTGCACCTCCGGATGTGTGCTGCCTTAGTCATAAATCGTCAGAATAACAAAACATTACGTGATTCAAGTGATATTAATGCATTCGGTTACGTCTGCTAAGTAGCAGCTCTGCCAATCCTTTCTTTGCATCAAAGAGTCATGACTTAGAAAAAACTGTTTTGTGTAATGCATCACTTGATAAGCTATCTGCGTATTCCTTACATCAGTGATAGCGTATTGTCCACAACGTAGTTACGCAATGCTTACGCTAGCATGTTTGTGTTATTCCTAGATGTACCTTCATGCGAAGGCTTCTTCTGTAAGCGCGGCACCAACTGCTACGTCCGTGACGGCTCTCCCATCTGTCTGCCCAATACGTGCGAAGTGCGTGTCTGCGAGGGTGGTCTGACCTGCATTGACACGCCCAACGGTGCCCTCTGTCGGAGAGGAAACAGTAAGTCATAGAACGGGAGGCATCGCAAGGAAATGCACCACCAGCCGCAAATCATGCTTCCCTTGAAAGATAATTAGGATTAGCCTTGCTTGGGTCGAGTGGAGGAACTGCCACCGCAACAGTACGTGCGCGCGGCTTCACGTGACTTATCGCTGAGCTAGCTGCATCTTTATTTTTATTTTGAGACGTCGCGTTGGTGTGCTTTCCTTTATGTTTGAAGAAACATGCAAGGAATCAAAAACGGTTTCCGCTCAGTCTTTCGACACGATTCGTCAGATGCAGTCAAATGCATGTTGTTTATCCATCGCTGCTGGAGGCTTTCTGAAGTCATTCATGACATATCTTTGCTTCGCAGAGACGCGAGGCTGCCCTGGCAAGTATTGCCCAGATAACTCCAAGTGCATCGACACGCCAGAGGAAGGAGCCCATTGCGTCAAGATCTAGAGTCTCAATTTCGACATGTTATCCGCTCCCAGCGAGATAAGACTGTCATCAAATTCACGATGTCAGGGAGTCTGTGATGGTCACAATGGGGCACGAGTAAATGGCAATGCTACCCTATTAAATTCCACAGGAAAATAATATATGTATATAATATGATATTCGTTTTCGTCAACGATATAGCAATGGCTAGCGTATCTTCATCCAGGGTCGGAATTAGGAGATGCGCGTCTTCCATCTTTCGTGTCAACGGCAGGAACGGTAAAATTATGATAAGATGGCAAACTATCCCTCTCATATGAAACCTGCAGAGAGTTGGAATGTGTTTCCGTGACTATTTCCAAGGTGATATAAACAAGAAGGGACTTGAACTCCTGTTTTTTCGGCATTATGAGTAGAAAGTTCCTATGCTGGCAGTTATCGACTCTTAGTGTCACAAGCTGGTAGTGGTTAAACGACATTTTCAAGCCAACTTTTGTTGCATTGTCATACGTCATATGGGCACGGGCGTACGTCATGTGGGTATTGCTGTATGTCATATGGGCACGTCATACCGCTATGTACACGTTTCATGGATCACCTAAGCGGTGATCCATGAAATATATATATGTGATCCGTAGTGAAATGCATTGGAACTTTTCAAGGATGACAAGTGATTGGAAAAGCCTGCGATTGGTAAAACAAGTCAAGCAGCCGTGAGTAAACCAAGTATCTGTTTAGTTCAGAGTGTGATAATCATTGTTATTTATGTTGGCTTCTTCAGGATTTACTTATTATAGGGTAATGAGATGCTATTCAAGGAACGCGCTGGGTAGGAATGGAACTTTGTATCTTTTGGGAGCCACGCCCCCAATGTTGAGCTGTCGCCCCCCCCCCCCCCGCTGTGTTGGGCTGGGCCCCCGCAATTTGACCTGGTCCTCAATGATATGGAATCTTCAAATCATCAATCAAATGATATGAAATCATATATATATATATATATATATATATATATATAAATATGATGTAATCATCAATAAAATGGTATGGAATCTACCAATATTGTCAGTTCTTTTGAAACGGAGAACATTGAAAAAAGCTTACTGAAGCTTCATATCAATCACGAAACACAATTCTATATCAATATTACGTTTAGATGCATCCCTAAGGCATGAAAAACCTAATAACCTGGCTATTTGATCGCAAAGACTATTGTTCTGTGCTGGGAAATAAGCGCAAACACGGCATTCCAGGCAACTGTGATAGACTTCATTACAGGGACGTCGACAAGAAACTTGGTTCGCCTCCTAGAATGTGAGCGGATGTCAAGTAACTTGAAACCATCCCAATGAACATGCTGTTTTTGAGGACATACCGCATAACGTCATTCTTCATATTCATTTTTATTGAAGAATCAAACTATCTCGTATGTCTTTTGAATATTGTGACCTGCTAATAGTAAAACCAGGAACATTTTATTCAGGTCAGGTTTCTACGGTGTAGGCGGCTGCATGACGAGGTTTGAAGGCACTTCAGACACCAATCTGGATTTGGTCTTGTTAGGCCTATTTTACTCCGAGGTCATAACCTGGGGGTATCAAAATTAACGTCTTGGTTTTTTAGACCTTAGGGTGGTCAAACTGAACCCCCACTCGCGTGCGTCACATTCAGCTGGTCACTCGCGCGCGTGTTAGTCGGCTCTAAAAGTTGGATGGACCCAAATGGAACCGTTCAAAAAAGATTTAAGAAAGTTGGGGCTCAACCTTTCACCCTCCTTACCGTTACCCGACCCAGCAATAGCAGGCCTTCTTTTCGAGAGCTCAGAACAAACGCCTAATCGGAATGGCCAGGACAGATCCTAAGGATCCTATTATCGACCGTGCAGTTTGACATTTTATTTCTTTGGGTGGCATAATTTCAGTCCAGGCAGAGAGCCATCGGAGTGTATTTAGGTATTCAGTGTGGCCAGAGGATCGAAAGCTGCGGAGGTATGAGTGAGGAAAAAATGAAAAGTGAGGCGGCTTTTACTATGCGTTTCAGTATAGTTCGAATGTTCCCTTGCACTCTCAACTGTCGGATTTGAACGCAACGTGGTAACACGGATACCCAATGGCGGTGAACAGTGTCTGTGACATCATCAAGCACCCCAGCTCAAACGTGTCGCATCAATAACCTTTGGCAGTCCATAGTCGCATCGTGCAAGTGCAATTTCGATCACAAATTCCTCTACTGTGACGCACGGAAACCAGACAAATCGAATAAAGGCATTTTCACACATGTCTTTATTAATAAAAGCATACCACTATTGTTTCCAAGCTATAGATCTATCTGCCTTCCGTTCGTTTCCGTTCGTTCCGTTCATGGATGAATTCGCTGTTGAAAATGCACCTAAAGCAACGCGACACAGAACTGCCGAAAGCCATAAATCCGGCGCGTTTAAACGAAACAAAATTAGTATATTTCGACTCGACAGAGAACCGACTACCGCACAAGTAAAAGCGTGTTGTTTTTTTTAGTGCGGGCGGCCCACGTGCACCCGTTCAAAAACCACGGATCCAGCAGTTTCGAGACATTTTACAGAAGTCATGTCAGAACTCGGTAGACCATGCACGTAACGCCATGAAACGAACTGCATGAGATAGGCGCGTGTACCGTCTACAAACCACCTATGCAGCCCAACACTGTACGGTGCGTTGGGACGTCAGTAACTGATCATGAGGCGACTAATGCCGCGTTTTTTTTTTACCAATCCCGAAAGCAACACGCTGTCGCCAAAACCGAGTGAGAGGTATCGTAAAGTGACAGAAGCAAAAAACGGACTACCGCACAGGCAAAAGCGGTCGAAACTGTCTAAAAAAAACAACAAAAAAACTGAAACGCCAGTTTTGCTCGGTCCGCCCTGGCGAAACGTGACCCCGCGCAAACTTGCGGATTTTACCGGAAGAAGCCCAGTCCGCTGACTACGACTCGGCTTTGCAGCCGCGTGTATTGCTGAAGGTCCTCCACGCAGCAGACACATGCCGCAGGCGCATGACTACGCACTGAGCAGCCGAGGGTTGTAACTACACGGGACAGAAATCATGCGGCCGAAATAATAGCATGCAGGCACAGCTACACCTGAACACATCTGGGTTCAGGAATGCACCTGAACACCTGAACACATCTGGGTTCAGGTGTACGCAAGGCCACGCACCGTGACGCGAGAAGGATAAATTTTCCCAATGTCACCCGTATTGCATGACATCATCTCTGATGGGTGTTCCACCTTTGAAACAAATTTGGAAAACGTGATCTGGCGAACCAGTTTTGTTATTTATTCGTGAGTCCAGATTATGCGGTCAACATTACAGACCAGCACTGGGTTTTTTAAAATTTCTTTTAGTATTCCAATATGTCGCGTGCATACGCATTTCTAAATCTGTGGAGGCATCTAGGGCACGCAATGTAGTGTTCACCACTAAGAAGTTCATGGTGCCTTTAGATAATTGTTGGGTGTTGCGCACCGTATGTAAATTGCGAATGAAGGCTTTCAAGACCTTCAGACAGGGCTGTTCTGATGGCTTGCTTTGGTAAAAGACATTCTTGAGCTCCATCGGTTCCGTGTCACTGCGACGCCCGTTCACCAGGTTTGAGATGAGGCTTTTGTCAGGCATTCGACAGTTTGTGTCAAGTTGTCAGTTTTGCTTTTCCTACATCGAACAAATGGGCCACGTTACAGCACGTCAAGAACATGAACAGCTGTTTGGCTGATAATTCTAACTTTCAACTCGTTTATCCCTGCCGCGGATCTGACGGTGCGTGCCAACTCGCCGTCCATCACGTCTGTTGACGCTCCAACATATATTTTGTCTTGCATCAGCCTGTAACGGCATAGTAAATACACAGCCGGCGAAACCCGTTTTGGAAGTAGCAAAGTTAACCTTTCGCAGTAAAACAAGTTCAAACTCATAGGCAGTGCTTGAGGTCATCACAAAGCAACAATATTGCTGCCAATCCATCCCGTCGTCGCCTAAATCTTGACGCAGTGGGCTCCCCGCTCTGGTGTGTCGATGCACTTGGAGTTGTCCGGACAGTACTTGCCGGGACAGCCGCGCGTTTCTGCGGGGTAGAGTGCTTAAGCTGTCACGACAGAATACCAGTGCGGTTAGCTCTGCCACTGCAGGCACAGTCGGAGCATCAGCTGCGTAAACGCGGCGCGAGACACATTAGATGTGGTTAACAATGAACGATCCTAAGGCGTGCCTTTAATTAAGGTGTACCTAAGGTAATTTTCTCTCCTAAGATGCAACTTTAGAATTTAAACTACCTCACGATAATCTATGTGACTCTAACATGGTCGCCATGACCGGAATGACGACATTCGCCGTCGCCTTACAGCCCTCCCATAGACTCGCAACAAAAGTGACATATTTTGTCGCTAGATGTCACCAGCATACGCGTGACTCAACGGCGGGCGTACAGCACGCAGCGCACTCACTGATGCCGCGCCGACAGAGGGCGCCGTTGGGCGTGTCGATGCAGGTCAGGCTGCCGGTGCACTCGCGCACTTCGCACGTGTTGGGCAGGCAGACCGGCGAGCCGGCACGGATGTAGCAGTTGGTGCCACGCCGGCAGAAGAAGCCCTCGCAGCTCGGTACGTCTTAGAAAAAGCTAGGCGTGAGGGACGGTCTCGGGCGAGCCGACAGCACCAAGATATTGGTGTTGGCGTCCTCTTTTGGGATGGTGATACATGTTCGTAACAAGCGGACCACCCAGTGAGGCGCTGGTCGTTCACAGGTGCACTTTTTATCACTTAGTCACGTGATTGGGAGGTGGTGATAACGTATTTCACGATATCAAAGCTTCATACTCCCTTTGCGATCACAATTTCCACATATTATGGGCCATACATTATTCGCAAGAGGAATTTCCACAAATGAGTTTTGTCCCTCGTAATCAAGACAAAAAAGAAAAAGTGGTCCAAAGGCTTCACTAAACGATCTGTTGCCTACTGATCAACACAGGAAGCACCAATCATTGGTGTCAGCTCAGCTTATTCAGATCCGCCGGGTCTCTGGGTTCCTCGCGCCAAACGACTGTAAACCAATTTCGGTGCTTGAAGCGCTGGCGCGCAAAGGCTGCAGTGGAGGGTGATAACCTACCTGGTACGCAGTCCGGTCCGTCCGGAAGCTCATTGCACAACTCCCCAGCCGCGCATTTTATGTCTGCACAGGTCACTGCAACCAGCACAAGAGGTCAGGGGACTGCGACCAGTACTAATACTGACGCTGCAAACGGGGCAGGAGATTACGGTAAGACAAATACAATAGTGATCAGCCAAAAATGGACGATCAGTGTCAAGATCACTGACACCATGACGGTGACCAGACCCGACTTCAGAAAGGGGAATTCCCCAGTTGCGGCCAGTTCGCAAGACAAACAAATGGAGTGCATTGACTTCACGGCTCGATTAAAAAGTCGATAATGGGAAAATGACTGGGTAGGGATATCGCTCAGATGGAGCGCAGCGGGATTTTGATAAATGGACAGAGATAATTGCAATGATCACATAGATAATCAAAAAGTCGGAGGTAGGTGTAATTAAACATAAAAGGCCACGTGAGTGATGTCAAAATTAAGTCAAGGATCGCTTTCGAATAAAATTGTGTTCGTTATTACAGGACCCACGGTCGATCCAAGCAAGAACACAGCCTGAAAAACATGGGCATAGCTAAGTAGCGTTGAAACGTGACTGCAAAGCACAAAGAGATCACTTACTTCGCACACAAATAGGTCCGGTAGGCGTGTCTTCGCATCTCTCGATCTCCTTGCATTGCCAGGTCTTGCATGTTGGTATCTCTATGAAGCCAAAAGCAGGAAAATGATTAGGACCAGGACCAGACGCTAGCCAGGACCAGACGCTAGGCGCTCATCGACATGCATATCCGGCTATTCTCTCTAGCATTTGCGTGATTTCCACATTATTGTGGCCGTTAACAATAGCATAAGCTTTCTTGATGTCATTTGAAATTACGACAACGGGGTGAGATCCCTGAACAGATGAAGCCCATCTTTTTTTATCACTTCGGCACAATACCCCTCCCATAACTGTCATGCAGTAGTTCTACTCGTGAAATGGCTTAACCGTTTGAGGCATCACCGGACAACTCTGACTGGTGTGTGTATTTACCTGGTACGCAAACCTGGCAGAGCTGCTCCTCGCAGACGGTGTTAGGTGGGCAGCTTTTAGTGCAGGCTGAAATAGCCATACCATTCGTCACTCGCAGTCTACGAGGCCATAATCGTGGGCTTTGTTCTAGTGCTGACACAACTGGTACCTCATACAACCTTTTCTATTGCTTACAACTCTAGAATGTCAGAATTAGGTGCACTTTGACGCACTGCGCTTTCTGGACACATACATGTTATTGCATCTTCGGCTCGGTCACGAGTCCGAGATTGGGGAAGATGCATGTGTTTTTGAGACGTTTCTTTCCAGGCAACTCCACGAAATTTTCACAGTTGGACGTCATGTCAACTTGTAAAAAGTTGGATGGCAGGTGTCTCTAACGCGGCCGTTACGTGCCCACCGCTTCCACTCCCGTAGGCATTGCGCTGTGGTCTAGTGTGTTGCTTAGTGATGCGACTACAACAGTGCCCATCTCAGCAGATCGCAATCCCATCTGATGCTGTTCATTCAAACGTGGTCGAAGAAGCCAGATAACTTCATTATTACTCTGAAAATAAATCACCATGCTCTCAGTCTTGTACCAGGCACATGACAGGAGCTGGCGAGTACTAATGTATCCACGGGCACTTACTGCCTTCGGGCTTGATGTTGTCATAGCCGGTAAGTTTCTTGGACTGCACTATCGCGCACAGGGACAGCAAAATGAAGACCACAGGACGCATACTGGCTGAGGCGGTACGATGCGATGCTGGAGTGGACTGAAATAAATACGGTGGGTTAGAATGGTCCGCGCTACCAGCTAGCACAACTTCAATAGGCAGGTATTAAGTAAACTCATGTACGTCAGTCCTCACTTCCTTCGGCAAAACTGGTGTTGACATGGACGCATAGCAAGCTAAAAAGTAATAAAAAAGCAGAAACAGTTAAGTGTGGAGTGCAATGTGCCCAAGTGCGCGCATTGGACAAGTACATGCTGTTGCCTAACAGCCGTGGTGGTGTGGGTGCGAGGAACGTCGGATGCTGTGCCAGGCCTGGATACGGAATGGGTTGGATTCCCGTCGCGCGGAAGGACATCTCGGGGCGTTGGAGGGCACTCCTCGCCTCTTGAGGGGAGGCTTGCTATGTGCTATTGGAGTAACTGCAGCCAGCTAAGCCACTCCTTGGGTGCGCCGTCAAACACGCGTATCACAACATAGGGATCGTGTGGCAGAATTTAAGACAGTTTTTGGAATAAACTGATGCGTCAGCATCACGCAGTCGTATAGCGGATCGACACTTACCCTCGATAGAACCGGCTCTACTCCTGACGATGTCGGCTTTGCTGCTCTTCTGAAGCAGGGAGCCACCGCACTTTATACTCGGCCATATCGCCTCCGGGTCGACGGCTTACGCACACCGGATATTCCCACCGCTGGTGCACGCTATATCAAGCAGGTTGCCAACCGGTTTGAAGCGATGGGAAGTCATTGCTCTGCACGGGAACAAGTCACACTTCGGAAAGGTTACACGGACCAGGCCGTAGGCGTTTCTTTGAAAGATCAAGCGGCTCGTCCGCTAGCAGCCAGCGCATTGTTGTGAGGCGGTGTCTTGGAAAATCTCACCGTGTGTTGCATTGCTTAGGGGTAGTCTGGAGCGGCGAGTTCAGCGCACAGCTCGGCGAAGCTCATACATGATACCATAGCTCGATCGGAGGGTTGATGTTCCATTGGACCTTCCGTTTGCCGTTCCACGTTCGCAACAAGATAGATGACATTTTCACCGCCAGCAGCGGTGGCGTATAAAATCACGTTCCATGTCTCGCAGTTTGACGTTCGTGAACCGAAATCTTGAACTGAAGATGTAAAGAGTGGGTTTTAAGTTGACTTGTCGTTCGCCAGTTCGTTCCTTTGCTTATAAAAAAACGTAAGACCTTTATGAGAGTATAAATTGCTTTTTGTCTAGTTGTTCGCTCGTTTACAGACATAACATTAGTTCGGTGACGTATATTTAACTCATGAAATGTTCGACTTAATGGTCAATGCTCACGTTATATAAATGATGTCGTAAAAGGAATTCTTTTCGCACTAAAGTCTACAACAAAAGCAAAGCCTTTTTATGTAACCTACATTCGTCTTAACATCACTGGAAATGGTATTCGAAAACAGTGCTGAGGGTTCCATTACTTTTAGAAGCAAAGGACTAAAGCAGGGCGCCGGTTTGGGACGAGAGAAATCATTTGTGGTCTCTTCGAATTCTTGTGCTGTTGGTTGCCGCATGCTGTCTGTCAGAAACTTATGATTGCTAAACGTCACCACTGTTTCGAATAAAAAAACACGAAAGATGCTAAAGCTTGACGTTCTGGATTGATGAGAGCTGTGGGGCCCACGTGTGATAATCACACTGCGATGAGGGGCACACACACATAAAGCAAAAGCAAACCAGACAACAGTCGCCATAACGAAATGAGAACGCATTACTGATATTTGACACCGGCCTTGGGAGGCCAAACCTTGACAGATCACGCTAAGCATCGGAATATAACACCTCCGCACCCGCGGGCGCGGCACGCGAACCGTGGGAGGATGTGCGTCATTTTGACCCAAGCAATGGGTGTATGTTTTTCTTCGTCATGGATGCGCCCTCGCAGTGGCTTGCTATCCATCCCTTACGAGCCGTAACAACAGACATCGGCATGGAAAAGCTGGAGATTGTTGGTCGCTTGCCGAAGCTACTCAAGCCGCTCGCTTCAGACAATACCAAGCTCTTCATGCTCGGTATCCTACAGACCTGTTGCCGCTAAAAAAATGTCGAAAATTTCGCGTCTCAGCCCGAACAGCCGAAATCTGGCAGGGTCCCTTTGTTGGAGCAAGGCTTTCCAAACCTCGTTTTGGTTACCGATCGACATCAGCTACCGAAAGCAGACTGTGGGTGTTGTGCGCACCAAACTTTTACAAATCCCGTCACGCTATTGGAGGCACTGCATAGTCGATCTCGGGCGTCTCCTGCCGAACATTTGGCGACGGTTGGAGGGTGGGAGGTAGATCTCCTGCCGTTTGTGGAGTTCATCAGCATGGCGTCCTCGCACAACTTCTTGTAGTCAAGCTGGGACATTGTCTTTGGTGTTCTTTCATCAGCTGAAACACGATTTGGAGAGAACAGTTCGACAAACTAAAGGCACCGGACAATCGCTAGCTGTCACCAGGGATGTAATTTCATATTCAGTTGGTGGGCTTCAGCTCTCCCAGTTTGGGCTCCAGCCGCCCCCCCCCCCCTCCCCCCCAACTTGGAAAAGTGGCCCGAATCTGGGGAGAAACCTATTTGTTGGCATATTTGGGGAAAAGCTTGGGTAGTTTTTCGCCGTTCGCCCCCCCCCCCGACTCATTTAATAAAACTACGCATCTGGCTGTTGCCCAACGGCACCATGCTATACCGCACTAACAGATCGGCGAGCCGAGGGACAAGGAACCAATGCGCACAAGCAGGAGGTGCTGCATCGTCTGAACGACGCCTCCAGGAAAGGACATACGACGTCACTGTCAGCGCCCCCGGGGCATGCTATTCATGTCATGCCACCATGCTGCGCACTGCACGCCACAGACCAAGGTTTGTGCGTTTCCAGCAAACAAGAGATTCCAGCGCTAGTGCGCTTCCAAGCAACCGAAGTGGCGACGGAATCTCTCTCCCTCTCCGTCCCTCCCTCCCTCTCCCTCCCTATCCCTCTCCCCTCTCCCTTCCCTCCCCTCTCCCTCCCCCTCCCCGTCTCTCTCTCTCTCTCTCTCTCTCCCCTCTCTCTCTCTCTCTCTCCTCTCCTCTCTCCTCGCTCTTCTCTCTCTCCCTCTCTTCCTCTCTCTCCTCCTCTCTTCTCTCCTCTCTCGCTCTCTCTCTCTAATCTCTCGTCTCTCTCTCTCTCTCCTCTCTCTCTCTCTCTCTCCTTCCTCCTCCTCTCCCCTCTCTCTCTCTCTCTCCTCCCTCTCCTCTCTCTCTCTCTCTCTCTCCTCCTCTCTCTCTCTCTCTCTTCTCCTCCTCTCCTTCTCTCTCTCTCCTCTCTCCCTCTCTCTCTCTCTCTCTCTCTCTCTCTCTCTCTCCCCTCTCTCTCTCTCTCTCTCTCTCCCTCTCTCTCTCCCTCTCCCTCTCCCTCCCCCTCCACATCCCCCGTCCCTCTCTCTATCTTTCTCTCTCTCCCTCTCTCTCCCTGGCCACGCGCCGTCGGGGCCCGCACATATCAACTGGGGAAGGGGGTGGGTGCATAAAAATGTGTCTTTGTGCACAAACTGGTAGCCCGTGTTCAGGGAGGCCGCGTTTGCAGGAAATGCACAGAAACTGGTTGGGCGGGTTTGCCGCGATTTAAACGGCAGTCCAAGCCGTTCCAATCCGGACGGACAGCACGCTGTCGTACAGGGTGGCATCTGGCGTGTTCCTGCTGGAGTGAACGTCTCGATACGACGCTCCATTTGCGGTGGAACACCGTGCAGGCGGTTGTGATTTGTCGAAACTACGGCGTTTTGACCATGGTCACGAGGTTAGCGTGAGGTTGAGGCTCGGAGCTCCCACCTTCAGTGGCACGCCATCCCGAAACGCACGTTTGGTTCCAAGGTGGCATTGCGCAGGCGTTTGACAAGCGAGCACATATACGTTTGTCGTCTTTAGAGGTTTGCTGTCGTCCCCCCCCCCCCCCCCTCTTCCTTCTGTATTGAATCTCAGCCTGTATCACAGTCCAGGTCGGTCTCGCTGCTCGGTGACAGAAACGGCTATGTGCCGTCCTCAGAATGGTAAATCTTGGTACGGAAATGATTACAGATTCCTCACAGATTTATAGTTCTTACACAAGTTCTTACACACGATTTATAGTCCTCACAAGGGCACATCCAGGTCGATCAGACACGGGAGAGGGAGGGCATCCCAGTGAGAACTCATCATGTCGGGGTGGTGGTGGGGAGGTTCCCCGCATTCTTGATCCTGGCTGTGTCTATGAGCGCTCGCTATTTGACTTTCTAACTTGGATGGTCTGAGGCAGGCGGCCAGTGGCAGCGGCTGCTTAATATCAGGGAGCTCAAAGGGCAGGGGGACCGTTCCAGCTGCCCAGTGGTGGTGGTCTCGGAC